CCTTCTTCACAAAAGTGGACTGTTATCACGATGCATAGGATCCTGGTTCTGCAACGCCCGTGGCATAAATGGGTATTAATCCTTTTGCCTTCCCTCGGAGAAGCTTCAAGGGATGCTCCCAAGAGGGACTACTTTGTTTTAGGTCAAGCAACCCAGGAAAATAATCTCTTCTTCCCCCCCCCCAATCTCCTATGGCAGTAAAGAGAGCCTCCATCCCCAAAGATAGCTTTGCCCCCCACCAAAAGCTTCTAGGATGGACACTGATCATCAGTGGGCGACTCTGGAGGAACATCTGCTAGAGCTAGACCTTCAGAGCAAACACCTGAAAACCGCCTTAAGAATTGGGGGTGACTTTAATGCCAGGGGTGGCTCAGAGGGCAGGAAGCAGCAACGTTCCAAGTACTGGAAGGGTGCCTTTCTTTCCTATGGCGCCACAGAAAGAACCCACCGTCCTAAGGACGGTGGCATCGGCTGATCAAGGGACAAAGTGAGGAACGTGACGTCTGGACCATGACTTGCAATTGTTGACGGCAACGACATTGTTCACCTCTTTGGAGATTACACCTTGATCTGCTGGCGAGGAGCCAACACAGAAGCGCAAGAACTAAAAAAGGAAAATCTCAGCCGAGCAAGACTCCCAGTTAGCTCCGGGACACTTGTCAGTTGTCAAATCAGTCAATTCTGTTTTATTGAATCGTAGGAAAAGGAGACAAAGCAAATTTCATTGCCATACAAAGAGCTGGTTTGACAAAGACTGCAGAAAGGCCAAAAAAAAAATCATACTAAATTATCCTGTGAACTCTCGGGATGGAGCTTTCATTTCAAAAAAAAAAAAAAAAAAACCATACTAATTTATCCTGTGAACTCTCGGGACGCAGCAGCACTTGGCTTTCATTTTATTACAAGGAGCTCACTCCGTTGCATGGATTCGATCTTACGACTGCTTGGTCTTCTGACCCTGAAGCACAGGCTTCTGCAGTTTAGCCCGCAGCGCCACCACGTCCCTCATTTTATTACAGCCCAGAAGGAAATACATCGTGTTGGAAGAGAAGCGTAACCCGGTGAGGTAGAGAACCCCAGCCGCAAAAGAGAACCCTAATTCATCCCTCTAGTGCTTATTTACTCTAGCATTAAAGCCACGAAGCAACACTGACATTTGGATACCAGCAAAGAAGAACACTTCAAGGATCTGTACCAAAGGCATCATCGCCAACTGGACTTAACATTCTGAGATCCATCTCAAACGATTTCCAGGATGGGAACCTGTCACCTGTTGCGAAGCAGCCCAGCTGATCAAACACTTACAACCAAGGAAATCCTTTGGCCTCCGTGCATTTCCTGCAGAACTGCGGGGAAACAGCCCCAATGGGGTGGTTACACCACATTGCTTGCACCTTGATTTCCTTTGGCCAACAAGGATGGGAAGGTCCCAGTTTCATGGAAGACATTGTTGGTTGCACGCGTGTAAAAAACTGGATACAACTACAGATTTGCAGTGATGGGCAAACTTAATGCATCATGAGCTAAGCTTTCTGGAAGATGGATTGCTGAGAAGTGAGGATTTGCACCCCACAAGAGATGGGAAGAATATGTTTGGCCACAGCATGAAGAACTTCATCAGAAGGGTTTTAAACAGTCAAAAACGCATTTTTAAAAACACATATTCAGGAGGATGAGCTTGGTTGTCCTATCGAGAGCATCCGGATGAATATAATGGGGGCAAAACCCAAAAAGAACATGGGAGTTGGAGTCTGCTACTGACCGTCTAATCAAGAAGAAGATGGGAGATGAAACTTTTGTAAAACGAATTGGAAGAATTTCAAAGAAACATGTAGTAGTAACGGGACACTTCAATTATCCTGATATCTGTTGGGAAATAAATTCCTGCCAAATACAGTATGGACCTTCCATAAAAAATTCCTCTCTTATGTGGCTGATAATTTTCTCCTATGAAAAGCAGAGAAAGAAATCAGAGATGTAGATATCACTGGACTTGGTCCTAACCAATAGAGATGGCTTGCTGAAAATCCTAGTGTTTATCTGTTTTTTTAAAAAAAAAATACTGGATTTTTAGCATGCATTTCTCAAGGGAAAAGATGAAACAGAGAAGCAAAGAAAAAATAAGAAGGGAGGAAAATAAAGAACCAAATAGTTGTTGTGGGTTTTTCCGGGCTTTTTGGCCGTGTTCTGGAGGCTGTTCTTCCTAACGTTTTGCCGGTCTCTGTGGCCATGGGCATCTTCAGAGGACAGCACTCTGAGAATCAAATAATCACGGGCTAGGCATAAATGCCTGTCTATCAATTTGTGGGCCAATGTGGCATAACTGGAAAGGATGCTGGAGTTCTGGGTTCAAATCCCCACTTGGCACAGAGGGATTAGGAAGGTGTACAATCAACAACCTATATAACTCAAAAAATCCTTTTAGGGCCGCTGGAAATCAGAAGCAATATTCCAAAAAAGGTTCCGTTTGGAGTCAACATAAGAAACATTAATGCAGAACTAAAGGAGCAAGATCTCCTAACTTGTGAATGACAGACGGGATGCATTTATCATCCCATCTTTAAAGCAAAAGCCCTTTGACTTCTGCTAGTTTTTGCAATCACACAGCAGTCACACAATTCGGTGTGCAACCAGGGAAAGACACATTGCAGCTAACCCACAATAAGAGTTTTGCCATGGAGCTCCCGGGGGACTTTTCTAGAAGGTGTTGTAGATCTTCATAGAATTGTTCAATTTCAGTCTCCTCAGCAATGCTGGTTGGTGCATAAACTTGGATTATTGTGATGTTGATTGGTCTGCCTTGGATTCGCATTGACATCATTCTATCATTTTTGAGATTGTATCCCATTACAGCTTTTCCCACTCTTTTGTTGACTATGAGGGCTACTCCATTTCTTCTATAGGATTCTTGCCCGCAATAGTAGATATGATAATTGTCTGAATTGAATTCGCCCATTCCCGTCCATTTTAGTTCACTGACGCCCAGGATGTCCATGTTTATTCTTGCCATCTCCTGTTTGACCACATCCAGCTTCCCAAGGTTCATAGATCTTACATTCCAGGTTCCTATGCAGTATTTTTCTTTGGCCACTGTACCTCCTGGGAAAAGAGCCAGCCTGGGTGGCCTTGGGCAAGCCGCACAATGCCAGGGCATCCCCAGGAAAAGGGAACAAGGAACCACTTCTGAGTTACTCTCTCAATGGAAAACCCAAAAAAAAACGG